GTGTAGCCCTGGCTGTCCTGGACTCACTCTATAGACCAGGCTGGCCTTGAACTCACAGAGATCCATCTGCCCCTGCCTCCCGAGTGCTGGGATTACTGATGTGCAACACTATGCCCAGCCCCCCCCCCCCCCCTTTTTTTTTGAGCCCTTACTGTCCTGGAACTCAGTATGTAGATTAGGCTGCCTTTGAACTCACAAAGATCCACCCGCTTCTGCCTCCCAAGTTCTGTACAGTCACAGTCTTCATGATATTCACAGTATTGTGGGGGAAAAAATAGCAACAAGAGCAAAGCACAGCCTGAGGAGAGAAAGCTGCACGTTCTCAGAAAACACGAGCTGCGGAACGAGAATGCTGGGCTTGTGCACGGAAGGCTGGTGCTCTGCTACGGGGAATCTGGACATGGCGTGGTGGTACATTCCTGTCATTCCAGCACTTGGGAGTCTGAGGCAGGAGGATTGCAACTTGGAGGCTGCTTGAGCTAAATAGTGAGACCCTACACATACACACACAAAATGTGTGAACTAGCACACCCCCATTTTCAGGAATTAGGCCTTCATTGTGAGCTCACACCCTCCTCCTTCTTTGCCTGAAAGCTATTTGGGAGCTGCTAAACCCTTCTAAATGGTGAGGGAGACCAGATAATAAGAGGCATTGCAGCCATCAATAGTACCCTGGGTAGTTTATTGTCAGCTTGACACACGTTAGAGTCCTGAGGGAAGAGGAATCTCAGTTGGCAAAATGCCTCCATCACATTGCCTGGAGGACATTTGCCTGATTAAGGATTGAGGGTAGAGTCCCGCTGAAGAGGAGCAAGCCACACGAAGCAAGCCAGTAAGCAGCACTCCTCCATGTTCCTGCCTCCAGCTCCGGCCCTGACTTCCCTCAGTGATAGCGTGTGACCTGAGAGTTGCAAGCTGAAACAAAACCTTTCCTCCCCAACTTGCTTTTGGTCATGGTGTTTATCTCAGCAATAGAAACCCTAAGTTGATCAGTAAAGGCCAAGCAAGAAGGTGGCAGTAGAAACAGAAAACCAGCCTAGTGAAGACAAAAGATGGGGTGAGGGAGGCAGGAGATCTAGGGAAATGCCAAGAACCTGCTGGTTTGTGTGTGGGGATCACCTCGGACCTGGTTTGTTAGCAGCAGCCGGAGGTCTGCACGGAAAACGCCTTAAGAGGCCATTGCATCCCCTGGACAGCAGCTGCAGAGTGACCACCTGGAGTCACCACACATGCAAAGCGGAGCTGTGGTTAGGGAGGCTGCAGCAGGACACAGAGCAAAGGCCCGGCGAGGACACAGGGGCGCTGTGTGCAGAGCAATGCATGGCAGAGCTGCGGGCAGGCAGGACACAGCACTGCAAAGCATGGCTTCCTGCAGGTGCGGTGGCCATGCGAGGCTCTTCCTCCCATAGGAGGGTCTGACATGAGACCCTGAGAGTGAGCAAGCCTTAGCTCAGAGAACCCTGGCCAGAGCAAGAATGTCCAGAACAGAGGACACTGGACATGAGGAAAACTAAGAACAACATCCGCAGGAGGTAGCCGCTCAGCGCAGATGGGGAAATGAAATAAACTAGCATTGTGCCGTCCGAGCACTTGGGAGGTGAAGGCTGGCCCATCAAGGCCAGCCTCGGGGCTACGTAGGGAGTTCAAGACCAGTCTTGGCTACATGAGAACCTGTCTCAACCAAAGCAGAGAAATACAGATAGGAAGCAGAGCGACTTGCCCACGTTATTTTCTCAGCTGGGGGGGAATTCGGTTCAGGAATATACCTTAAGATGTGCTCTTTCCACAGCTTCACCCTTTGCCTGCAGAGTCTCTAGTGATGGAATAGAAATTGTGTGAATTAAAGAGGACTAAGGGTGGAGCCAAGGAATGCCTCCATGTGAGAAGAAGAGGAGAAATAAGAAAAGCAGGAAGGCCAGCCAGAGGCAGAAGAGGAACAGTTTGCCAACATCGGGGTTCTGCTCTAGATGGCTGAATGTTCTCAATTCAGAAAACAGTTTCCAAAGGGTGACAAGGGTGGGGCCACACAGGAGCAGTGTGGTATCGTGGGAGCAGCTCACTTTTCCAGCTAACTTTGACCTTGAGCTACTGGAAGAAGAGTAGGGAAAACCACCCCCAAGACGGAACCCGAAGGAAGTCTATTAGGAAGAAAACTTGGGATGGATGCTGGGGGAGTGGAAGGGAGCAGGGCTGGGCGGGGGCAGCTGACCTGCGACATAGGACCACGCCCACTGGATGTAGGCTCCCAGGAGGAGCGGGGTGTGGCCGGACGGCCCAAGGCCGGCAGCACTTCAGCTACCAACAGAGAGGATAAAAAGACCTTCACAGCCTTGTGTGGCGGCGCACTACTTTGATCCCAGTGCTCAGAAGGCCAAGGCCAGCGGGCGGATCTCTGTGAGCGTGAGGCCAGCCTGCCCTACACGCTGAGCTTCTACGAAATGAGCTGCCTGAAAAAGCATAGTTGTCCACAGCAAGACAGGAAGGAAGGTCACAGGGTGAACCTGGACCACATGCAAGTCCAGGGCCATGCTGGCCACATGAGACCTTGTTTCAACTCTTCCCTAAAAAGTCCATTATTCTCAAAGGGGGTCTGAGCTGCATTTTGGCATTTTTTGAAGGAGTATTTTCTAAGGCTAGCGGCTTCTAGGGAAGAATGTTCTCGGTGTAGATAAAGCCCAGTTTTGGAAATAATTTCGTATACAGGAGTACAGTATCATTTCTTATCGCCTTACAGTTACAACAGGTTTCACATGGTATAAAACCCATCCTTTACCTGTAAAGCATTCATGGGACACCCCCGTGCACCTGGTCTTTCCTCGTTCCAGCTGTATGATAGGACAGCCCCTCCCCCAGCTTACTGTGTAGCGCTGGCTGGCCTGGCACCCTCAGGGGTCTGCCTGCCCTGCCCCTGCCCCAAGGGCTGAGACCCCAGGGGAGCACCCGCCTCGTGCGGCTCGTCTGTTTGAAAAGCACAACAGCAGCAATCAGTGACGGTTTGTACTTGTGTTGTTGCTGGCTGTGCGCAGCACCCAGCCCCTGGGAACAGAGCAGGCTCTCAGGACATGGATGTAAAATGAGGCAGTTTGTTAAGAGGGGTGAGAAGTGCTTGGAAGGCCTGCATGGCTTGGCCCTGGAAACCTGGCTGGGGCCACAGAGAAGAGAAGACACAGGTGCAGGAAAGCTGGTGGAGTGCGATGAGGAAGCAGGATGGGGACCACCAGCCTGGCAGCAGCCCAGAGCTGTCTATTAGGACAGGAGAGAAAGGTTAGCGGCTCTGCTAAGCGGGAGGTCTCTGCAGGGGAGCAGTCTCAGGCTGACCTCCCGGAAGCTCCAGTGCTTGCTGGACTTTCCTGAAGAGCTTTGCCAGGTCCCGTGGGTTTGGGGCTTCCCTGGGGTCCTTGCCAAAGGAGTCAGGATAGCCAGAGTTGCCTTTTTAACTTATTGTACTGGGTGAGTGTGTGCAGGCCTGTGTGGATAGAGGCAGCTCCTGAGCATCCTTTCTTTCCTTCCACCTTTACGTGGGGCCTAGGCTCGAACCCGGCCCACCAGGCTTTGCTTGCTCACTTTTCTTGCTGAGAACTCTTATCTCCTCGGCCCCGCAGGTATTTTGAGAAGCCATGAATAATTTTCCAGGTGAAGATGGTCCATAGCAGTAGTAGCTAGTTTTAGGAAGCTGCAGAGAAAATGAAAGCATGAAGAAACCCTTGTCATGGTGATGAAAAGCTGAGGAAGAACCTCACACACAAAGAGTGCCTGGACCAAGACCAGCTCAGGCTGCAGGCAGGGCTGGCGTGGCGGGGGTCAGGAGCTGAGCTGGGCTCACTGGAGTGAGTCTGCTGGAGAACACTGGACCAGCGGTGTGTAAAACCCATTCCTACTTTCCTGATTTTTTTGATTTTTGTCTCTGTGTAGCCCTGGCTGTCCTGGTCTCAATTTGTAGATCACACTGGCCTCGAACTCCCAGTGATCCACCTGCCTCTGCCTCCCTAGTACTGGGCTTAAAGGTGTGCACCACCATGCCTGGAATGATTTTTGTTTCAGTTTGTGTGGTGTGTAATGATGGAATCCAGAGCCCACACTCCGACACCCAGCCAGGTCCAGACCCACTTCTCCTTCTAGAGTTCCTACATTCAGCTCTCTTCTCTGCCAGGTTTTCTCCGTGGAAGGTTTTATGGGTACTTCTATTTTCTGAGGAGGACAGGTTGTGCCCAGCTTAATCTGCAGAGGCAGCACTGCCCCAGGGGACGGTCTGATAGCCACCAGGGCTGGAGGCAGATCACATCTTCGCTTTTTGCGCTTGAGTGAGCCGGGTACCAACACCTTGCCCTGGGACGCTGCTCAGAAGGCCATGGTTCCCGGCACTGACACGCTGCCCGAATGTCCAGCCACCCGACTGCTTTTCTTTCCATTTGCTCTTAGGTAGCCTCAGTGTTTCCAGGAGGCAACTTCCCCCCATTCTTCACGCTTTCTTGCCCCTGCACGGAGACTCTTGCCCCGGATTTCTGTGTTGCTGCCTCAGGACCTTTCCTTCTCCGCCAGGTTCTAAGTTCTGGTCCCGCCTCGCTCTGCTGTCTGCCTACGGATCACCAGTGACCAGCAGGCACCCACGGCTCCTTCAGATCCGGAGATACAGCCGGGCGGCGGCGTTTTCACCTACGCTTTGAGCCTCCTCGTAATTGCACCAGCATGGCACGTACTCTGGAAAATCCAGGCGGCTCTGGGCTAATGGTTTCACCTCCTATCTCAGAGGGGCAGAGTCCCGAGCACCGCGGAAGGAGTCCCCGGGGAGTGGCATCAGAGGAGAGCGTTCGCTCTTCGCTGCACACATCCCGGTGGCCGCCACCCATTGCCCGCCTCCGGGTCCTGCCCTGCCGACCGGCACAGAAACGAGGTCCCACAGGAAATTAATTAGCTCAATTAATCTCCATTAATAACCAGGAGTGGCCGCAATACCTGCCTCCTTCTCAAGGCCAAAGATGACGTTTGCTTGTGCTCGGGAGGGCGCGGTCTGGAGCGCCCGCTCTGCCTGGACCGGCCTGGGCGTCCTCTCCAGCGAGGGAGGCGCTCTAGGCCGCGTATATAAGGCTGCGCCTCCCCGGGCCGCCAGAGCAGCTCCGCACTATGGGCAAGAAGCAGCCGAGGCCGGCGGCTGCTCCCAACTGTGAACTCAGTAAGTGGGCAGCGGGCCGGGGCGCGCACACCCCGCCGTCCCCCGCGGGCCTCCCGGGGGCGGGCCGCGCGGCTCCTTCTGCTCCTCCGAGGTTGCCTTTGCTGTCAGTGTAGCTCTTCTCCTTTTTCAAAGCTTCATTTACTACAGTTTATTCACTTTGTGTCACTCTGCACGTATTTGACTGTCCGTGTCCGGGTTCGCCCTCTCTTCCTGTCTCGCTGCGGACCAGTCGCCCGACCCTCAAGCGCGGGGCCGGGGCTGGGGACGGAGCGGGGCCGCCTTGGGCAGGCGGGACAGAAGGTGTCGACAACAGCCAGCCGGGTGGAGAACGACTCACTGCGGGGCTCGGCAGGTGGACGGCGGATGCGGCAGAACTGGCTCCACGGGTCGCCGTCTCTCGGTTCCTCCCAGACGTGGGGTGTTCCTGGCCCAAGAAGCCCGCCACGGCGCCTTGCTGTCGCTGTGGCTGCATCTCGTAACCGCCGTCTCTTAGGAGGAAACGGGCCTGTCGTTGCCTAAAGAGAGATGGCGGGAACTATGACAAAATTTTACGCCCCTGACATTCCCGGACTGGGAATTGCCAAAGCGTGGAATTCGGCGGGTTTGAACCGCCAGCTCCGTAGCGCGCGGGGCGGAAGCCGGACCACGCCTCCGCCTCCGCCCCGCCCCCTCGGGCCCCGCCCCCTCGGGCCCCGCCCCCAGGCGCGTGCCGCGTGGGCGGAGCCCCGCCCCCAGTCCGCCGGCCACGCACGCTCCGAGCTGCGGGAGACCAGCCAATCAGAGGGGCGGAGCTCCCGCCCTGCCGGCCAATCGCGGGAGGGGAGAGGTTGACGCGCTCTGTGCTGGGCTCCTGGGATATGGAGTCGCCGGCGCGGCGTGTCAGGGGGCGGCGGAGCCGGTAAGCGGAGGCGCTGGCGGGGTCGGGGGTTCCGGCGGGCGGGCGGGCAGGCGGCGGAGGGCCTCCCGGATCCCGAGGAGACGCGCAGGGCTCCGGGCTCGGCACAGCGCCGGCGGTCACGGGCCTCGGCCTTTCCCCGTGCCCGGGCCGCAGACCACCGCCCCTTCCCCAGCGGGCCCGGTGGGCGGCGGGACCCGGGTCCGGGGTGCGCAGGCTCGGCGCGCCGCAGCTTCCTCCCGGAGCCCGGGGTCCGGCTCCCCGCCGCCTCCCGCAGCGCAGCGCAGCGCCCTGGCCGCCCAGCGGTCCGCCCGAAGGCCTCAGGCCTCGGGTTGAGTGATGCTCGGTCGCCCGGCCGTGCCTGCGGCCCGGGTCCCTGCGCCTTCCAGGCCTCGTTGCAAGCAGGAGCTTGCAAGCCGCTCCTGCTCTGCGGCTTCCAGGGCCCGGTACTTGAAAAACTCGCTCGTGTGAAACTCCACCTTTGGATTCTTTGTCCGTTTCCAGGACTTGGTTGGTTCACCACACTATTGGGAAGGGCGTCCTCAGGACAGAAGTTGAGTTTCCTCTGAGTGAAATGGAGACACTCCGTTGTCCTCTGCTTGGCTTAAGGCAGCAAAAGCAAACATATGGCAGGGGAGCTCCTAGACAGGAGATGGGCCCTGTCTAGGAGCTTCCGTGTGACCCGTGGGGAAAACACGGAAGCTGCCCACCTTGGGCACCATGACATCTCCAGCCTCACCGAGTTCCATCACTTCTTGCTGTGTTAGCTTGTTGTTCAGGCTCCTCAGGCTTTCGTCTGCTTCTCACACTTCAGTGAGGGCGATGGCAGGATCTTACAGGGCTGCTGGTGTGAAGTCAGTTAATACCTGTAAAGTGCTCAGGCCTGTCCCCTCCACCAGGCGTTTTTATTATTGCTGGAGTCTGCTGTTTCCTAAAGGCTTTGACCTTCTCACTAGTCTTTGCTCAGAATCCCTTGGGCAATTGCCAAAGATCCCCTAGGCCAGTGCTTTCTAGCCATGTTATTAGTCTGCAAGTGCAGTCAGCTACAGGAGAAGAGGGACGCTGTGTTGACAGTTCCTTCTTACTCCTTGGCTTTTCTTTTTGAGTCTACATCTTGCTAGGGATCTCTAACTGGCCTGGAGCTTGATGTGTGGACCAAGTTGGCCTCCAGCTTGCAGGGATCCTCCTGCCTCTGTAACGATAGAAATATTTACTACCCAAGCTTTGCTTCTGCTGAGCTCATTAAATAGATTGGAAAGTAACGTTCTAGGTTACTCCTGCACTTGCTCTGTTGGTAAATGGAACCCTGAGATTTCACTGGTGTTTTTTATTAGATATTTCATTCTCAGTCTTGCTTGAGCTGAGAGTTTATTTTGGACACAGACCTTCAAGGCCATGGCTGCCGCCTTTTCTCACATGGTTTCTTTCTCACATTCCGGGAAGGCCTGTGGGACTCAGAAGGGGAATTCCTGAGCCTCCCGCCAGCATTCTGATTGAGGGAAGCTGGATGTGACTCCGATTCTGCCCTGAGGAGAGCAGAGGTCCTTGTGTTGCTCAGCAGAGCTAGCCAATGAGCAGCTTTGGCTCAGGTGTGAATCGGTGAGAAGCAGTTAGAGAATTGTTTCAATAAAGAAGGGTCTTTATTCTCTTTGACTATGAAGCCAAGCGCTTGGTCGTATTCTGTTTTGCTGGAGGTCTTCATTTTCTGCTATGCAAGCAGGTCTTCATGTCAGCCTCTTGATTTCTTTTGGGTGTTGGAGAGCGCAGGAGTTGAGAAGAGGCTGGCTTTCCGTATTCACTCAGCTACCTTGTTAGCTCATCGCCCGCTGGGAGACTTTCTTTGTAGAGAAGCACAGGTACGGCAGCAAGCCCACTGGCCATTCGCAGCGGTGCTTATCTTTGTATTAAGACAGTTTAATACTTCTTTAGGTTGAAATATATTAAAATTCATGTATAAGATGAGGAGGCCACAAGTTAATTATTAAAATTTTATCAGGTTCCAAAGAGCAGAAGCTGTGGAATCTTTTACTGTGCATTTGTCTGCCTTGACACATAATTTTTCTTTAAGAAAAGAAGGTAACATTTGAGGGTAATACTATTAGGATAAGTGGGTTGGATATGACCTAACAAAAATCATTCTTCAGATTTTCAGGAGAAAAGCAGTATAAGTGGCAATAAAGACAGGCAAAATATCTTTTGGGTGTCAAGAGGTAGGTAATATGCTTTTGGTGGGTTTCTTTTTCTTCCGGGAGAGAGGACCTTTGAAGTCCAAGCCAGGTGACCAGGAAACACTGCTATAAAGCCATTTAGAAGGAGGTTTGCAGGAAGCTCTCTGTCAAGAGTTGGGAGGAACAAAGACCAGGGAGAGGTCCATGTAAGCCAGGAGTGGCCTGGCTGCTGACAGTCAGGAAGGTTTTCAGCCTGCTACCCGCCAGCCATGCACCCGCCCTTTCTTTTTTCCTGAAGAGCTTTATTCTATTATTTTAATTATAAGTATGTGTGTGCCTGTGTGGGGCACGTGCACAAGAGTACTCGCAGGTGCCCACCAAGGCTAGAGGTGTCAGAGCTCCAGGAGCTGGAGGGCCAGGCCACCTGACTCACTGCTAGGGGCTGAACTCAAAAGAGCAGTAAATGCTTTAACCTAAGCCATGCCTAGCTCAGGCCCTTATTTCTAAAGTCACGGTTGATAAATAAACTTCTAGCAGATCAGTACTTGACAGCTGGGCCACAGTTTTCTCTGTTCTTATCTTTGACACCCAAGCAGGCAGTTCCATTATCAACTGGACTCCTCTCCCAGGTCTTCACCCCTCTCCCCTCCCTTCTCCCCTCCCCTCTCCTCCCCTCTCCCCTCTTCTTGTCTTTCTCTGCCTGGGTCTGTGTGTTTCCAGACAGGATCTGGCTGTCTAGTTTAGACTGGCCTGGAACTCTGCCTCCTGCTTCAGTCTCCTGAAAGCTGGAGTTATAAGCATGAGTCAGTCACCATGCTGGCTTTTTCCTTTTTCTTGCTTTTTAAATGTTTGTTTCTTTGAGGCAGAGTCTCTGTTTGCAGTCCTGGCTATCCTGGCATTCCCTATGTAGGCCACACAGGCCTTGAACTCACACAGCCTGCTCTGCCTTCCTCTCAAGTGTTAGGATTAAAGGCTTCTTGAGAAACAGAGAAATCCTATCTCCAAAACAAGACAAAAACAAAAAGATAGAGTAGAGAACAACTGAGGAAGAAACCTGACATTGACCTCTGGCCTTCACTGGTACACATACACACACACACACACACTCACACACACACACACACACACACACACAGTTTTTCTTTCTGTCTCAAAGAGAACTGAAAAGTCAGACTCAGGTGAGAGGCAGCATCCTGGGTGCTGAGCTGAAATTGTTCTCAAGCAGGAGAAAGTAGGAGGAGAGATGAATTATAGTCCCCGTGTCTGACCGGCCTTCAGAGCGAGCTGGCCCTGGCTCAGGTGCAGTGGCCTTGTGCGGTGGGGCACCGTGTGTGCTCTGTGACCTAGGTGTGTTGTGTGGAATTCAAGGTATTAGAGCAGAATCAGGCAGGTAGAGTGGATTATGGTTTTAAGGTCATTTTCTAAAGCAGTGTCTCACGTAGCCAAGGATGACTTTGGATTCACCTACCAAGTGCCGTGACCTAAGCCACCAGGCAGCCGTGATCGTGATCGGACACTGAGGATCAGCCCAGGTTGCGCACTCTACTCACTGAGCTTCCTCAGAAGCCCTGAGGCCTTTCCTCAAAATTCCTCTTGAGAAGTAGACAGAAATCAGAACCCACCCTTGTTTTTTTCCCTCATCTTTTGTTTCATGTCAGTTCTTTTTGTGTTTGTGTTAGGGGGTTGTGATCAGATCTATGCGCTGGTGCTTGCTAGGTAAGCACTCTGTCATTTTCCAGCCCTCAAATTCACTTTCATTACAGAAAGTAGGATAAAAATTGTTACTGTATTTTTTCCTTTGTTGAGACAGGGTCTCATGTACACAGGACTGGTATTTAGCTCACTAGGTAGCTAAAGGTGATCTTGAATTCTTAAATTCCAGATCCTCTGCCTGTACCTTCTAAGTCATTCCGGTGACCGTATGTGTGAGCCACAGG